TGCCAATGCCTTCAGTGCAGCTTGGACCTCTTCTTTCAGTACCATCGGTTTCTGATCATATGCTACCTCCTGAAATGGTTGAATGTCGACTAATTCTTTTTGGTATAGTGACTCTGTGTATTCCTTCCATCTTCTTTTGATGCTTCCTGTATCTTTTAATATTTTCCCTGTAGAATCCTTCAATATTGCAACTCCAGGCTTGAATTTTTTCTTCAGTTCCTTCAGCTTGAGAAATGGCGAGTGTGTTCTTCCTTTCTGGTTTTCTTTTTCTGCTACTGTCGTTTTTATTTTTGTTTATTGTTGTAGTTCAAGAGAGAGTTTACATTTTAAGTTAGTCTCACATACAAAAATTTATACATACATTGTTATGTGACCCTAATTGCTCTCCCTATACTGTGACAGCACACTTCTCTTTTCCACCCCTGATTTCCCATGTCCATTCAACCTGCTCCTAACCTTCTCTGCCTTCTCATCTCACCTCCGGACAGAAGCTGTCCGTTTAATCTCATGTATCTACTTCAGCTGAGAAGCACACTCTTCATGAGTATCATTTTATGTCCCATAGTCCAATCCAATCTTTGTTTGAAGAGTTGGCCTTGGAAATTGTTTTAGTTCTGGACTGATAGAGAATCCGAGGGCCGTGCTTTCTGGGGTTCCTCCAGTCTCAGTCAGACCATTAAGTCTGGTCTTTTTACTAGAATTTGAGTTTTGCACCCCATCTTTCTCCTGCTCCATCAGGGACTCCCCTTCTGGTTTTCTAACTCAAGGTCTTTGCACATGTCATTATAATACTTTACTTCGTCTTCTGTTCAGCTCTTTTACCTCATCATTTCTTCCATTTGCTTTAGCTACTTGATGTTCAAGAGCAAGCTTCAGCGTCTCTTCTGATATCCATTTTGGTCTTTTTTTCTTTCCTGTTTCTTGCTTTCTTCACGTACGATGTCCTTGGTGTCATTCCACAACTTGTCTGGTCTTCAGTCATTAGTGTTCAATGGGTTAAATCTATTCTTGAGATGGTCTTTAAATTCAGGTGGAATATATTCAAGGTTGTACTTTGGCTCTTGTGGACTTGCCCTAATTTTCTTCAGCTTCAACTTGAACTTGCATATGAGCAGTTAATGGTCTGTTCTGCAGTTGGCCCCTGGCCTTGTTCTGACTGATGATATTGAGCTTTTCCATCGTCTCTTTCCACGGATGTAGTAGATTTGATGCCTGTGTATTCCATCTGGCGAGGTCCACATGTATAGTCACCGTTTATGTTGTTGAAAAAAGGTATTTGCAATGAAGAAGTTGTTGGTCTTGCAAAATTCTATCATGCAGTCTCCAGCATTGTTTCTATCCCCGAGGCCGTATTTTCCAACTACCAGTCTTTCCTCTTTATTTCCAACTTTTGCATTCCAGTCACCAGTAATTATTAATGTATCCTGATTGCATGTTTGATCAATTTCAGACTGCAGAAGTTGGTAAAAATCTTGAATTTCTTCATCTTTGGCCTTAGTGATTAGTGTGTAAATTTGAATAATAGTCATATTAACTCATCTTCCTTGTAGGCATATTGATGTTATCCAATCACTGACAGCACTGTACTTCAGGATAGATCTTGAAATGTATGACGATGAATGCAATTCCATTCCTCTTCAAGTTTCATTCCTGGCATAGTAGACCATGATTGTCCAATTCAAAATGGCCAATACCAGTCCACTTCAGCTCACTAATGCCTAGGATATCAATGTTTATGCATTCCATTTCATTCTTGAGGATTTCCAATTTCCTAGACTCATACTTTGTACATTCCACATTCTGATTATTAATGGATGTTTGTAACTGTTTCTTCTCATTTTGAGTCATGCCACATCAGCAAATGAAGGTCCTGAAAGCTTGACTCTACTTTGAGGGGGTAGCTCTTCCCCAGTCGTTTTTTGAGAATCTTCCAATCTGAGGAGCTTATCTTCCACAGCTATTCATAAGGTTTTCACTGGCTAATTCTTTTCAGAAGCAGACTGCCAGATTCTTCTTTCTAGTCTGACTTAGTTTGGAAGCTCAGCTGAATCCTGTCTGCCATGGGTGACCCTGCTTGTATTTGAATACTGGTGGCATAGATTCCAGCTTCTCAGCAACACGCAAGCCTCCACAGTACGACCAACTGACAGACCCGTGGGAGTCTATTAACGTTAATTATGTCAAATTAGTTGATAGTATTGGTCAAGTCTTCTATATACTTACTGAGTTTCTATTAATAATGATTAATTACTGTTTGTAATTACTGAGAGAGGAGTGTTGCAATCTCCAGCTATAACTGTATTTTGTCTATTTCTTCTTTCAGTTCTATCAATTTTTTCACATATTTTGATGCTCTATTACTAGACGCATACACATTTAAGACTGTTATATCTTTTTGAATAACTGACCTCTTTGTCTTTATGAAATATCCTTCTTTATCTTTGGTAGTTTTTTTTATTCTGAAATATACTTCGTCTATTAATATAGTCACTCCAGCTTTCCTTTAGTTAGTGTTATCAGGTATATCTTTTACTGTAAACCTATCTGTGCTTATATATTCCAATGGGTTTCTAATATTCACCATATAGTTGGGTTTTACTTTGTTATCCAGTCTGACAATCTGCCTTTTATTGAGAGTGTTTATATATCATTTATATTTAATGTAACTATTGATATGATTGGGCTTAAATCTATCATCTTGCTGTTTGTTTTCTATATATTGTCTCATCATCTTTTTTGTCCTCCCCCCCTTTTTTAAAATCTTTACGTGCCTTATTTTGTCTTTAGTATTTTTTATGATTAATTTTACCTCTACCCCATTGCTGTCGAGTCGATTCCTACTCATAGTGGCCCTATAGGACAGAGCAGAACTACCACATAGTGTTAATAAGGCTGTAATCTTTATGGAATCAGACCACCATATCTTTCTCCTGAGGAGCAGCTGGTGGGTTCGAACTGCCGACCTTTTGGTTAGCAGCCCAGCCCTTAACCACTGTGCCACCAGGGCTCCTAATTTTACCTCTACTGTTGCCTTATTAGCAATAATTTGTTTTATTACTTTAGTGGCTGCTTTAAGGTTTACGATGTACATTTTTAACTTATTACGGTCTACCTTCAAATAATATTACACTTCACGTTTGTATAAAAACCTTAAAACAATACACTACCATTTCATCCCCCCATTTTCTTGGTACTATTATTTTCATGTATGTTGCTTCTACCCTTGTTATGGAGCCCTGGTGGTGCAGTGGTTAAGAGCTCGGCTGCTAACCAAAAGGTCGGCAGATCGAATCCACCAGTCACTCTTTGGGAACCCTATGGGGCAGTTCTGCTCTGTCCTATAGGGTTGCTATGAGTGAGAATTGACTGGATGGTAGTGGTTTTGGTTTGGTTATCCTTGTTATAAACCCCACAACACATTGTTATTATTTTTGCTTTAAACAGTCAATTATCTTTTAAAAATATTTTAATATGGAATTTACCTATTGTAAAGTTCACCCTTTTTAGTGTACAGTTATGAAAGTTCTAACATATGTATACCGTCACGTAACCACCACGACAATCAAGATAGAAAGGAAACAGTCCCATCACTTCATAAAACTCCCATGCCCCTTGGTGGTCAACCCTCTCCCCACCAGCAGCCTCTGGCAACCACCAGTCTGTTTTCTGTCTCTCTAGTGTTGCCTTTGCAGAAATGTAATATAATGTGAATCATACGTATGTAGCATTCTGAGTCTAGCTTCTTTCACACATTTGAGATTCATCCATGTTATTGTGTGTATCGATAGTTGATTCCATTGTATGGATATACCAGTTTGTTTATCCATTCCCCCAGTTGAGGGACATTTGGGTTGTTTCCAGTTCTTGGCAATTACAAATAAAGCCACTAAATATACTCGTGGATAGGTTTCTGTGTGAACACAGGTTTTCATTTCACTTGGGTAATTACCTAGGAATGGGATTGCTAGGTCATACGGTTTAACTTTGCATGTTTAACTTTATAAGAAACTCATTTATATTTAAAAAATATAAAAATGAGAAGTTTTTTATGTTTACCCAAGTTTACCGTTTCCAACACGCTTCATTTTTTGTGTGCGTAGATCCAAATTTCCTTCTGCCTGAAGAACTTTTTAAAATATTTCCTGTAGCAAAGTTTGCTATCTATGAATCCTCCCAACTTTTGTTGTCTGAATAGTTTTTAATTTTGCCTTAACGCTTCAAAGATAATTTGACTTTGGTATAGAATTCGAGGCTGACAGTTCTTTTCCTTCAGTCCCTTAAAGATATCAATCACTCCACAGGGATGTTGTCTGGAGCCTTTGGCAAGCCCAAAGGAGAGAACCTGGAGCCCCTGGGTGATGCAAATGGTTAACGCAACCACAGCTGGAGTCTACCCACAGGCGCCTCATAAGAAAGGCCTGGTGAACTACTTTCTAAAAATCAGCCAGTGAAATGAAAACCCTATGGAGGGCAGTTCTACTGACACACATGGGGTCGCTATGAGTCAGAGTCAACTCCCCGGCAACTTTTTTTTTTCCTTACCTGCAAAGGCCGAAGGTTTTCTGGTAAGCAGTTAGGAAAGTCCCCTCCACGAGAGGGCAGGGACCGCGGGACAGTTCAGGGGCGACAGTGGGAGGTAGGAGACCTGGCAAGGAAGCCCAGAGGAGTCGTGGCCTCCTGCCTTTCCTTTCGCTTGCAACTCTAAGACCTAGCTTGTCCATCCGGGATTGCGGCCATGACCTGGGTCACTGCCGCCACACCCTCACGCAGTGGACACGGAGACCACTCCTGAAACTCCGCCAAAGTTGTGTGCGTGGGAGTGCGCTTGTGCACATTAACCACTTCCACACGCCCCGATCGCTCCTCCCACGTCCTCGGTGGGCGGGGCCTGAGGCGGGGTTATTAAAGCGCAGCCGCGGCCCGGGAGGGGTTTCGTGCCCCGAAGGCTGCTCGAGACAGCAGGGTCCTTGGGTCTTGCGACTGCCACCGCCACCGCCGTCATGTCTCGGCCCGCCACAGTGCTGGGCGCCATGGAGATGGGCCGCCGCGTGGACGCGGCCGCAAGCGCCAAGGCCGTGCGTGCTTTCTTGGAGCGCGGCCACACGGAACTGGATACGGCCTTCGTGTACAGCTACGGCCGGTCCGAGAGCATTTTGGGATGCCTGGGCCTCGGCTGGGCGGCAGCGGCTGCAGAGGTAACGCCTGCCGCGCGTCCCGGACACCTGGCCCCCCCCGAGGGAGCTGATCTTGGCAGGCCGGACGCTGACCGGTGCGCGGCCGTGCATCGCCCCACTCCTGCAGGTCCGCGGTCAGGATGCCCAGCTTCGTCCCCCTGCCGGGGCGCGGACCGCCCCCTGCTCACCCCGCAGCTCTGTGAACTGCAAGCCCTTCAAACCGGTGCGTATCCTCTCCTTTCCCTTCCGCGAAGATAGTCGAGGACACTGCGCGCAGCGATGCCCAACCCTGGTCTAGCCTAGAATGACTTAGACATAGCCAGCCCATCTCTGGGACACTGAAAACATTGGAATCTGGAACTGTGCAGCCCCTTCCCCCCCTGCCCCGGCAGGAGCCCCTGACCTGTAGGAATTCTGTCCCACCCACGCACTGCACCTACCACCGTGCGTTTCCTGGCCCAGATCAGACCTGGAATGGGCGGGTCATCTGCTCCTTCCAACCTTGCTATGTCTGCGCCAGACTTTGCTCTGCGTAGTTCCTCGTGCCCTGTTCAGGAGACAGTGCCTCCCACTTCACCAGGGTTGCAGCACCTGGAAGCCACAGTAGCACTGTAGGGAGGGTATAGTGTGAAGGGGAAGAAGGTGAGGAAGCAGGTAAAGTCTAACTGCCCTCTCCATGCTAGGCTGTCTGAAGCTTGTTGATGTGACTTGCCCTGGAGAGGTTCCTGGGGAAATTGACACTAACCCACTCTAGGGAAGTTCAGATTCTAGAGATGGCCGAGGGGCCCAGAAGAGGGAGGACTTCCTGGGAGAGAGCTATTGAAGAAAGCTTCTCTGAAAAGGACACATTGGAGTTCGACCTCAAAGAACGGATAGGAGTTTGCCAGGAAGAGTAAGAAGTGAGGGCATTCCTTGCAGGGGGCATGAGTGTGCAACGGCAATAGTAAATGCTGAGGGTGTTGGAGGTATGGCCTGTAGGCAGATGAAGCTTAAGTGGAAGATTTGTGATGGGGGCAGGTGACTCTCCCTTATTAGTCTGATGACATTTGAAGTGCTTAGGACAGTGCCTGGCAGGCACATAGTAAGGTCTCAGAAATGTTAGTTGTTATTGGGGACATTGGTGGTTCAGTGGTAGAATTCTCGCCTTTCATGTAGGAGACCCAAGTTTGATTCCCGGCCAGTGCACCTCATGCGTAGCTACTACTCGTCTGTCAGTGGAGTGTTGCCTGTTGCTGTGATGCTGAACAGGTTTCAGCAGAGCTTTCAGACTAAGCTGGACTAGGAAGAAAGACCTGGAAATCTACTTTAGAAAATCAGCCAATAAAACTCTATGGATCACAAATAGTCCCATCCACAACCGATGGTGGGGATGGTGCAGGACCAGGCAGCGTTTCATTCTGTTATGCACTGAGTCACCTTGAGTTGGTGGCTGGCTGACTCAATGGCAGCTAACAACAACAACCTTGTTATGAGTGTTGGCACATTTTCCTTCTTCCACGCTGAGGCTCTTTCTTCTCTCCCCCTAGTGGAGCCTTGCTGGGTTTCTCCTCTGATTGGCAGCCTGGTAGATCTGGAACAAAACGAGACTGTGAGGGCATCTCAATGCTGCCCTCTTTCTAAATCATCTGGCTGCCTCTCAGTGAGAACTCCGATTTTATTTCTGATTGTTTAAAACTTCTCCATCTCCTCTCTCTTCCCTCCTTGAGGCCAGGGGCCAGTCAGATCTCAGATCTGAAGCTAAGTTCACATTGGGTGGAGGGGGTGGGTGGGTAGGGGTGGTGCTGAGGAAATGGTGGAATGGCAAAATTCCAAATGAGTCCCAAGTTGGCTCACTCCCAAGTCTTAAGGGGTATGGTGACTGCCCTCAGGCCTGCTGGAGTGACTTGCCAAGTGTGAAAAGTCTTTCTCTCACCCATCAGTCTAGCCAGCTAAGATTCCTAATGGGAGTGGCAGGAAAATTATGTAATGCACACTTGGATGGCAGACCACTGGCTTATGTCATGGGGAGATTTCTCTTAATGGATCCCTTCCTTCCCCTCCCAGCGGCCTATGCTGGGGCCTCAGCATCGCCTTCCTGGATTCCTGCCACAGCCTCCTGGTCTCCCTGCTTCTAGACCTGCTGTTCGGGTTCTACGTCTACACTTCAGCCAGAGTCACCTTTTAAAACCACAAAGCTGACCATTTAGTGCCCCATAACCCTGGAAAGTCCAGACTCCACAGGGTGCTCAAGGCTGTGCCCCTTCTCTTGCCATGTGTCCCACCTGGACCTTGGGTTCTAGGTACATGGAATCACAGGCTTGGCTTCTCTGGGCTTTTGCCCCTGTCCCGACATTCTGCAGTGTGCTTCCCAACCTTCTTCAGCTGGCTGCCTCTGACTTCCACTTGCAGATTCTGAGTTAGGGTCACCATTTAAGGAAAGCCTTCCCTGAACCCCCTCATGGGCCTCAAGCCTCCGTGGGCCACACCGACTCCATGCCCTGGGCTCCTCTAGCACCTGGTGCATTTCCCTGCCGCCCTGACTGTGTAGTGGCCCACAGACTGTGAGTCCTTGAGGACAGGGAACAAGTGTCCCCGTGCATCTACCTCTGTCAGCCCCTAGTGCAATGCCTGGCACATTCAGCTGCCTAGGAAATAGTCATCATAGTGATGACAAGTTCATCCTCCCTATGAGGTTTGTACCATTATCAGTCCAACTGAGGGGACTGGGATTCAGAGGGGTTAAGTAACTTGGTCAAGGTTACATAGCTAGCAATGGCAGAGCTGGGATTTGAACCTGAATCTGTCTCTTAACCATTACAATAAACCCCCTCCAATGATTGGTAAACTGGCCCCTAATGTTCATTTTTCTCCCCTCAAGTGAAAATTGCCACCAGGGCCAGCCCTTGGGATGGGAACTCACTGAAGCCTGACAGTCTCCGGTCCCAGCTGGAGACATCGCTGAAACGATTGCAGTGCACCCAGGTGGATCTCTTCTACCTACATGCACCTGACCACAGCACCCCTGTGGAAGAGACACTGCGCGCCTGCCACCAGCTGCACCAGGAGGTGAGGGCAGCCACCTGAGCTCCGGGAGGTGTCTGCTGCTCCTCCCCTTGGCCTCTCACTACCCAGGGGAGTGGAGGCACCAGGGCAGTCCCAGGTGGAGCTGGGCACAGACCTTGCTCCCAGGGGTCTCCACTGACTCTCCCCTTCCTGGTCTCCTGGGCTGCAGTGGGCTCTGACTGAGGCCTCTCCCTGCAGGGCAAGTTTGTGGAGCTTGGCCTCTCCAACTATGCCTCCTGGGAGGTGGCTGAGATCTGTACCCTCTGCAAGAACCACGGCTGGATCCTGCCGACGGTGTACCAGGTGAGGCCAGGGCCAGAGGCCTTGTCCCCAGGGGTTCTCTTGGCCCCTCTGACTGCCCCAGTGCCCTCTGCATAGCAGCCACTCCCCTGCTTAAGTCTGTAGAGGCTCCTGTGGCCCTCAGGATAAAGTCCAAGCTCCTCAGCCTGGCACACAGGCACCCACGCGCTCCAGCCCCACCACCCTCTCCTGCCTCAGTGCCCACCTGGGCCCCTTCCTTCCCGCCTCACACTGCACTTCAGCTGGAACACACTAACCCCCTGCTCCCCTGGCCAGAGTGCTCAGGTCTCACTTAGATGGTTCTGCCCCAGGGAAGCCTTTCCCGAGAGTCCCAGAGGAGCCTGAGATCTCATGCTCTCCCTTACCTCCTCATCATTCATTCAGCAAGTGTTTGTATACCTGCTTGGTGCCAGGCCCTGCTCACATAACTGACTAGTGGATTATAATTGCCTCTTGTCCTAATTATACCTTACTTGATTATACCTGACTATACCCTGCCTGAGTATAAACTCTTTCAGGGCAGGGACCTTCTCATTTTAGCTCATGGATGTAAATCCTGTGTCCAGCCCATAGTTGGGGCTCATAAATGTTGGCAGAATGAATTATCAATCCAAGTCCAGTTTTCCTTGGGTACACACTGCCCCTACCACTACTAAGTATATGCCCTGTGGTTAAAGTCCTACGAGGGTCTGAACTGAGAGTTCTACAAAGGTAAAACTGGGGCCTCTCTCTTGACACGTCCGTCCCACCAGCTGGCTCCTCTACCTGCAAGGCATGTACAGTGCCACCACCCGGCACGTGGAAAGGGAACTCTTCCCCTGCCTCAGGCACTTTGGATTGAGGTTCGACGCCTTCAACCCTTTGGCTGGTATGAGTGCTGTGGAGATAGTGTCACCTCCTGGGGTGGGAGGGAATTCCTGGCCCCATCTCTGCCTGTTCCTGACCCAATGGGTCCCCAGCCCAGGACCTGGGAAGCAGGGAGGGGTCTGACAGGAGGCTGGGCCATGTCCTCTATCCCTTCTGGGTCCCCCAGCCCAGGGCCACCAGGGATCTTAGCCTCTCTCTGGCCAGGGGACTGATTGCAGCCTTCTTGCAGGGGGCCTGCTGACTGGCAAGTACAAGTACGAGCACAAGGATGGGAAACAGCCTTTGGGCCGCTTCTTTGGGAATAACTGCGCTGAGATCTACAGGAATTGGTGAGCTGGGGAGGGGCTGTGTCAGAGTAGGAGGTGGTGTGGGTCCCCTTCGTCTGAAATAGGGAGCCTCTGGGGCCACTCTCCTGGTGGCCGGGGCCTTCCCCTGCTGTCACAATTGGGCCCCTGGATTTATCGAGTCCCCCTTCCCCATCTTGGATATCCTCCTGTGTCTCTGTGGGCCTGGACTGGGAATGAGGATCCCGTATCCTTGAGGAAGAGCTTATCCTCTGCCCATAGTGAAAGGAGAAACCTTGCACTGGAACTTGGGAAACCCAGGGCTTGGTCCTGTCCCATAACTAGCGGAAACCTAGTTGTCCCCTTGGGCAAAAGGAGTGTAAGTTTTATACACTCAGCTATAGTTTTATACACTCACAACATCAATGTCTAAAGTCATAGTCAGGCAGCTGTTGGCACCTGATTTCTTCCCTTGCTTTTTTCACCCTTTAAATTTTGAAAAATGTATCCATGTGATACATGCTCATGGTTAAAAGCAAGCCGTTTTCTCGTCCCGTTCCTCAGAGGCAACGATTTTAAACTCATACAGTTCTTTTCCCTTTAGCACTTACTGCAGTGTCTCTGAAGTAGATGCTTTTATTGCTCTTAATTTACTACATTTAGGTATCATCTCTGTAATGTTGGGGAGCTCCTAAAAATTTAGGTCCTGGGCCTCTCCCTGGACACAGCAGCAGTCATTAAGGTTAATTTCTGTGTGTGATTTATTTCCTTGCTTTTTGTTTTCTCCTCTTGGGAGGAGGGCAAAAGATGTCAAGCTTCATGCAAGAGGCTCCAGTGTTTTGCTGAAATGACCAAGGACTTTTTCAGCTGTGGGGTGTCTAATATTTGGGTTCACCTTGTGTGCAATGCTGTGATTTCAATCCTTATCTGGTACCACCACCCATGCTCTGACAGAGATCACAATAGTGGGTCCTGGACAGAGCTGGAGAAAAATGTAGAGCAAAATTCAAACTCACAAAAAAAGACCAGACTTACTGGTCTGACAGAGACTGGAGAAACCCTGAGAGTATGGCCCTAGGACACCCTTTTAACTCAGTACTGAAGTCATTCCTGAAGTTCACCCTTCAGCCAAAGATTAGACAGGCCTATAAAACAATACGCACGTAGTTCAACCACGTATACGAGACTAAATGGGCACACCAGCCCAAAAGCAGAGACGAGAAGGCAGGAAGGGACAGGAAAACTGGACGAATGGAAATGGGGAACCCGAGGTCGAGAAGGGGAGTGTTGACACATCATGGGGCTGGCAAGTAATGTCACAAAACAATCTGTGTATTAATTGTTTAAGGAGAAACTAATTTGCTCTGTAAAGTTTCACCTAAAGCACAGTTTAAAAAAAAAAAAAATCCTTATCTGGCACACCCAAGGGTTTGTGATAATCGTGGCCAGGTCTCAGAACCAGTGCCCTAAGCAGTGCTTCTCAAGGAGCTTTGCACTGCCACACTGCCCCACCAGGCCCAGGCCTCACCGGGCTTTCACCAGTTCTGCTCTTCATAGTTTACAAAGCCCGCCTATGCCCATTATCGCCTTTACACTTTGGGTTCACTTTCTGTGGCTGGCACGGGGTGGTTCCTTTCCTCACTGAGGAGATAAATGTGATGGTAGGTCACTCAGCCAAGGCCACAGAGCCAGGACCTGAGCCCAGGGTGTGTCATAGGGTCCCTTCTGTGACCCAGAGCATAGGTGTGGCGCTGAAGCTGTTCCAGGGGCCTGATGTAGAGGCTGTGCTGCTAAAATACGGTGAGCATGTTAAACCTGAGGAATCTTGCCCACTGTGCCACCCCCCTTCTAGCCTCAGAAGTGTTCTGATGTGAGGCCCAGAAAAGTACATGTATTCTAATACTCAATAACACGGGGATAATGGCCTCTTCAGTGCTACAGGGATTAGGGTGGGGATGGCTGTCCAGGCTGGCCACCTCGGTGATCCCCGTGGTACTGCTCTTGTCCTGCCCTCCCCACCTACCCAGCTTCTGGAAGGAGCACCAATTCAAGGCCATTGCCCTGGTGGAGAAGGCCCTGCAGGCTGCTTATGGCCCCAGTGGCCCCAGCATGACCTCAGCCACCCTGTGGTGGATGTACCACCACTCCCAGCTCCAGGTAAACCAGCTATCTCCCAGATATTTAACGTCTGGAGGAAGAGAGGAGAGGGCTACATAATTATTTGGTGATTTCTACAATTACTTCTTTTCCTCTTCTGAAATTTCCCGAGGCCCAGTTCTTTGGTGGGGTAATCCTGTTGTTCTTAGATAAATTACTTATGTTCCAGGTTACAAACACTGTTGCTTACAATGGTTCTATTAAGTATGATTAGAGGGCAGTGGTGGTTCAGTGGTAGAATTCTTGCCTTCCATGTGGGAGACCCAGGTTTGATTCCTGGCCATGGACCTCACGTGCAGCCACACCACCCGTCAGCGGAGGCTTGCATGTTGCTATGATGCTGAACAGGTTTCGATGAACTTCCAGACTTAAGATGGACTAGGAAGAGAGCGTTGGCGATCTCCTTCCAACAATCAGCCAGTGAAACTCCTGTGGATCACAAAGGTCCGATCCTCAACCCATCATGGGGATGGGGCAGGACTGCACACTGTTCTGTTCTGTTCTGTTGTGCATCGGGTTGCCATGAGTCGGGGCTGACTCAGCAGCAGTTAACATCCTAATCTTACGTATGAAGAAAACTGGCTCAGAGACGCTATTTCACTTGACTAAGGTTACATGCTACCTGTGGTATGAAATGAGGGTAGCATTTATTCTATCCCCCAGCTGCCCACTCTGGAGATATAATCCAACTACCCTGTGGGTTCTTGGGGAGTTGCCCTCTCTATTGCCCCATGTTTCCCTAACACCTTTCTCCAGCTTGGCGCTTACGTAGTCATAGCTCCGCTTCATGGCATCTGTTATGTGCCAGGCCCACTGCGAAGTGCTTTACTAAATTTGCAATTCCCACAACCACCCTGCAAAGTGGAGGATGTTTGAGGCTTGGACAGATTCGGTAACTAAGCCAGGTTAACCTGACTGCTGAGTGGCAGGAATGAGCGGCTTTGAATGCAGGTGTGTCTGCTGATGAGCTAGTGTAGCCGCAGGGCTTTAAAGCCAAACAGCTCCAATGTCTGAAGGAACAGAAATGCTGTCTGCAACAATATGAGATGTAAATAACTAGGAGTGTAATCTTGGCAGGGTGGGGCTGGGCACGTGCCTGGGGTCACCTTGCAGCAGAAGTGTGTTGACGTCTGCTCATCTCCCCTTTCAGGGTGCCCATGGGGATGCGGTCATCCTGGGCACGTCCAACCTGGAGCAGCTGGAGCAGAACTTGGCGGCAAGTGAGGAAGGGCCCCTGGAGCCTGCTGTTGTGGATGCCTTTGAGCAAGCCTGGCACCTTGTTGCCCGTGAATGTCCCAACTATTTTCACTAGACCCAGACCTGACTTACGTAGTAGAGAGCATCCTCCCTCGGTCACTTCTTTCATTCTCTCACCCCAGCCATTTTTGCCTTAACTGCTTTAGCTTGTCCTTTCCTCATCACCCCAGTTCACAAACATTTTTTTTTCTGTATTCTTGCAGTCCTCCCTCACAATGTGAAACAGCTGAGGCTGAGCTCTACCCTGGCACTTCCTGTCTCAATAAAGCAGGCAATGGCCTGGTTGTAGTCCAGGCCTGGAGTGAGGCTGGTACATGTTTCCTCGGCTCCGCTTCCCATCTTGGCTAAGGGCTTGGTGAGAGGGAGGCAGAAGTACGGACTGGAGTCTTCAGAGAACAGTCAGTGGGAGGGCCTCATGGGCACACTACCTCACGAGGGGACTCCCCAGCCTGAGTCCAGCCTGACCTCAACAGTGGGGCTGGTGGTGGCTCTCCCTCTTCTATGCATGACAGAGAAACAGAGGGCCACACACTCTGAAGTAGCCTTTCTCTGATTCAGAAATGCCCTCAATTAAATACTTAGGAATAGAACAACTTGGGTAGAAGCCTACCATTAGAGTCACCACCACGGAGAAGGGTGAAGCCCCCCAGGATGCTGTGGAGAATATCTGTGAATGTTCCTCGCTCTCAGCTCCAGCAGTGGCTTTTCTCTTGGCTCAGCTCTAACCTCCTGTCTTCTCCTTGCCACCCACAGAGTCTCTGCCCTGCTTTTTGGAGGGGAGGGGGAGAAGGAGCAAGGGTGCCTGTTTTCCTCAGAAAATCCCTGTTTAAGCAAAGGGCTCCCAGGGCTGGAGGAGAGAACCCCCAGCCCTGGTGGTTGCTCTCACTGTCCCGAGCCACGAAGCTGCTCAGGCCATGGTGGTCAGGCAGTGGCCAGTGCTGGAAGCAGGCTCATGAGGCGAATAAAGGGAATCCAGGGAATGCAGACAAAAGCACAAATCCAAAGGCTCCTTTTTCTAAGAGAAGTTCCTTTTGCTGTCCACAAGGAGAAACCCTGCAGACGAAGCTTTATTCTTTACAGAAACATAGTCCCTTTCACCTTCCCTTGTCTTCACCTGTAGCAAAATAAATAGCTGCCCCCTGAAGCGGGGCGGCAGTAGTCCTGCTGGTCCAGCCGAGGGGAGACCTGGGACTTGCCAGAGGCCTCCGTTCCGAGCATTCCAGTCAGTCGTCGTCATCTTCCTCGGAGTCTTCTGCCGACTCGGATGCACTCTCTGGCAAGTCGTCCCCCATCTGTTCAAACCTTCCAGACTGTGCGTCCCACACATATTTGATGGTCACCTTGAATTCAGCCATCTCGTACCCAAAAAGCTTCTGCAAGAAATAAAAAGAACCAGGAGTTTGGAGAAATGAGCGTAATCAGAAGCTTGAGCGAATGCTTTCAGCAGAGCCAATCGGCGGTCCCTCCTGCCACAGCCCCGACCGTGGGATGGAGCCCTCACTGGTCAGACTCACCAGGACGCGGGCCTGCTCCGGGGTTAGCACGTCGCCCTCCTTGCACACCTCGTAGTCGGACAGCAGGGTCACCACACCTGCAGGGGAGGGTGGCCCGAAGCAGTCACACCTGGCACAAAGGCCTGCAAGCACTTTGTGCCCCTGCCCAGAGGTGGACAGAATCTTTCCTTCCACAACTCTTAGCACACACTGGGTCAGTGGCTGCCTCCCTTAATGTCCCTAAGTGCTGCATTTTGGTTGTAAATCACTTTCCACTTCCACTTCAACCATGAAACAGGCACCCCTGTCCCCATTTTCACATGAGAAGAGGCTTGTGGAAATAACTTGCTCAGGAGAAAGGGGAAAGTGGGGCTGTTGGGCTTGGAAGCCTGTGGTTTCTGCTCTAAGCCTCTAGGCTTTGCCTCCACCTTCTAGCTCCAGTGACCCCCCCCCGAGCCCCCCAACCCCGTGACCCCCTTACCTTTCTTGAGGGCGGTGGGCAGACCCAGCTGCCTCAGCTGTGGCTCCATGGAGTGGGGGAACTGCTCCAGCGGCCCGGGATCCAGGCTCACTGTGAAAGTTGCTTTGTTACCAGCTCGGGCGTAGTCCATTTCCGTGAATTTAGTGAACCACCTGAGGGCAAAGAGAAGTGGTAGGAGGCGAGATTCTGACTGGCCCGCCAGCCCACCTGAAGTCAGGCTCCCCCACAAGTGCACTGTGGCCCTAGGTCTCCCTTCCCGCCCCATCCATCTCAGCTGCTGGCCTGGAAAAGATCTTTGCCCACCACCATCCCTCTTCCTGACGGAGGCACACGCCGGAGGCAGCCAGCTGGGAGCGCTGTGTTGACAGAATAAAGATGGCTATGGTCAGAACCCACTAGTCTCCGTAACAGGGTTCCAGAAGCCAGCTCATACTTGATGCCTCCACACTGCACCACGTCCCCAGATCCTTCCCAACCTTTCTCTTCCCCTTTGTTCCTCAAAAGCACTTACTCATTCACTTCTTCCTTAGTGCGATTGGTGAAAAGGAGACCAACTTCACCTCTCAGCTTCTTGCTGACCTACGAAACAAAGGTGAGGGTCATTGGGTCACAGGCCAGTGGTTCTCAACTGGGAGGCAATTTTGTCCCCGGGGGACATTTGGAGACATTTTTGGTTGTCACAGCTGGGGCAGGGGGTGCTACTCCCTGGGTCTGCAGGTTAAGGGAGGACCCAGAGCTTTAAGCTGGGCGTTGCTCTCCCTGGACCAGGCCAGGTGTCTGTCACCTGAGAGCAGCAGGAGAGAGGGCAGCATGGCTTTGGCCCCTCCCAGAGGGCCAGTGACTCACCTGGTGCAGGTTGTCTTTGTACTCATCAGACGGGCTTCGACCCAAGGCCACCATCATCACCTTGTTTTTGCCAAAGAACATCCTGCAAGAAAATGGGGGGCCCGTGAAGGAGATGCCCCACCAGCCCACCCCTCAGCTAAGTGCAAACCAGCTCCAGCCCAACAGAAGCCTGTGAGCCAAGGTGCAGGCTGTTACAGAGGAGATTCACACTTCTTCCCCGTCGCCTGTCCATGCTGTCTACAGAGCAGAGCCCCTTTCGTTATTTCCCATGCCTACACGCTGACATTCCAAACATCGTGTCTCCAGCACACTGTGTTATGTAACAGTGCCCTCCCGTCTGGATACGTGAAGAGGCATGCTCAATAGTCCGAACCAGAGCTGCTGCAGCAAGAGACAGGCGGAGCCACCACCTGCACTTATTCTAATTGCAGCCACCTAGCTCATGCTGCCCACTCTCAGGTCATTGTGCCCTACTCTTCACACTGATATTCTAAAACTGGGGTGATGCTCCTAAAAGGACTAGATCCCAGGGTTAAGGGAGCCACTTCTCCCAAAGGGTCACCGCTCAAACATTCCCTGTACAACTACCAAGTCACTGACTCAAGAGGCTCAATGCCCGATCAGCTTTAACAGCTATAAAGTGCCCTTCGGGGGGTGTGTGGCATTCTGTCCTTACTGAGGCTGAGGGTCAAAACTGCCCCTCTGCTTTGACTGCAAGCACCTGCCCTCTTCCCACCGCCTGCTCACCGGCTGTGCTTCCAGGCGTTCCGGATATCCTTCAGTTTGCTGTTCCTCATGTTGGCCACGGAGAAGATGAAGAGGTACTTGTACGTGTCCACACATTTCCGAAGCTGTGGGACAATTCATGGGGCTCTGGAGTTCAAGGGGCAGTATGGGTTGGGCAATACTCTGGCCTCAGAGGGAAAGAATCTGCTTGAGGTCGTTTAGAACTGTGGAAGTTTAGAGGCCTCTAATCTGGTGGTCTCCAGGATCACCACCTGCAGGGACTCCCTGAGGCAAAGCAGATGTGAGCTCAAAGCGCAGGGGCAGTCTGAGCCATGGCTTGAGATCACATGGCCTTCCCCAGGCTCTGACTTATCTGTGACCACTGGTGTTATCAACCACTTCTCTGCTTTGTCCGTTAACTATTAACAGCCTAGAAACACATCCATACTAGAAAGGATCCTGCTAAATGGAAATATACAGAGCCTTGTTATTAGGAGATAAAGCAGCTCACAGGCACTGCTCTGTTTATGCCACTGTCATCAGGAGGTGGTCCCAAAGAAACAGAAACTTTGTCCAGAAGACTCTGCTCCTACCCAGCCTGCAGCCCAGAGCTGGCATGTCAGAAGCAGTGGAGATAGTGGGTTGGTGAGGAGTACAGCTTTGCAATTATCCACCACACTTGGTAAGTCTTTAGCTTTTTGACATTCGACAAGCTAACCTCTGAAAGCTTCATTCAGCGTTAACTGCAAAACAGGGATAGCGTCTAGTATCTAAGGATGTTATGAAAATAGCATGAATACAAATAAAACCCTTGGTGCAGTGCAGGGCACATAGTAAGAGCACAACCAAAGCTAGAAATCATTACCACGTAGTCATTATTGGTGCTGCTGCTGTAGGAAAATAGGTGGGATCAGCAGCTTAGTGGTTTTTTTTTAATAGTATGTTCCCCTGGCCAATAGTCCTACACCTAACCCTGAAAACCAAATACAAGCTCTGAAAAAATAAAATGGACAACAGGATCTCACCTCTTCTATCAGGTTCTGTTTCAGTTCCAAGCCTTTCTTGGCAGTTTTGGTTAAGGAAACTAATACAAAGGGAGAAAGAAAAAAAAAAAAAAAGCCGATGAGAGACAAACCTGGATGGCCCGGGAGACTAATTTTCTTCTCCCCTTTGTAGCTTAGCTGAGAGTTGGCTCAGCTAGACCAAGCATCTGAGGAAAAGCAATCAGACCTTCGGCTGATGTCATCATTTTTGGCATGAAAGGCTGTTCCCAGGGCCCATGGAGTACCTCCTCTCCAGTGTTCCCGGGCCTGGAGATCCCTTGGTATAATTTCGTGTTACTTAGACAAACTAGGTGTTCCTTAGCCCCTCTTAGGACTAGCTACAAATCTGTAATGCAGCATGGGGGCAGGGTTCACCTCTGCCTTCCCGGCACACGCAACCTGCTGGCTGAGGCAGCTCCTTTTCTGCTCTTGGCCTTGGTGCACACAGACCATCTATACCTCGTCGATGCTGGGGAATGACAAGGATGTGGGGACTTCACGTGCTCTGCTACATCTCTACACTTCACTCTGGCAATCTGGATCCACAGATGCAGCCATGCCTCACCGGGGCAGTGGGGCTGACACTACTACTGTAATAGCTGGAGCCCAATCAGCCCTCACCCAAAAGTGTGAGGTTTGCCAGATCTGACCAGTGCCCCCTCCACAAAATCAAATTGTCCCACAAATGCTTAACAAAGCACCAACTGCAAAGCCCTGGGTGCCCCCAGGAATGGTCCGCTCTTATTGGATTCAACCTGCCTGACACTCCAAAGTAGAGACATGCCTTCTTCACAAGACACACACAGAAAGGCAATCACACCAGTCAGTGGCCAGTGCAGCAACGGAGAGTCCACAAAATACAGCTGGCCACTTCTCATTGTCTCCACTGCAGCAACTTTGGTCCAAGCCATCATCCTTCTCTCTTGGATTACTGCTGATCTCTTGCTTCCACCTTTGCCCTCTGCTCCCCATCTTCCCTCCCCCCAGCTTATCCTCAACAAAGCACCAGAGAGATCTTTTAATACTAAAGCTAAATCACATCATTCCTCTCCTCAAAGCCCTCCAGTAGCTCCCCATTTCCACCCATGTGTGAAGCAAATTCCTCACAAAGGCTTATAAAACCCTGACCACTCTACTCCAGCCACAATCCAGAGCATGCCAAGCATGTTCCTGTTTCAGGGACTGAACTTTCTGTTCCCTCTACTTGAAACACTGTTCTCCCAGACAACTCCCCGGGTTGCTCACCTCCTTTCTTCAGGTCTCTGCTCATTTGTCACCTCATTACAGAGGTCTTCCCTGACACACTAAACAAAACAGTTTCTACGCCACTCTTTCTTCATGGGACTCGTTACCGTCTGATAAGTTTTGATAAGTTCTCCCTTAGCAAAATGTTAAGCTTGATAAGGGCTACGCCTGCTGCTATATACCTCAACGCCTAGAAAGTGCCAGGTGCGTGCTAGGCCCTTAAATATTTGTTGAATGAATGACTAAGAGGGACGCCACCATAGTAAGAGTAGTCAGGAATGGTCTCTTAGGAGGTGACAACTGAGAAAGGAACAGTCATATCAACAGCAGGACATAACCATGTCAGGCAAAAGGGACAGCAAAGGGCCCGACGACGAGGGAATAAGTCTGTGCTGAGGGAAGGGAAAGGCGGCCAGGATGACGGGAGGGCAGAGAGCGAAGGGAAGTGGGCAGGAGCTGAAGTAGGAAAGGTGGGCCTAGCAGAGACAAGGCACAGCCTGGGTTCTTAGAAGCTGTTTTCTGACCTAGTCAGCCTTGGAACAGGCAAAACACTCTCCGATCCCTTAAGCCGACAGACTCCAGCGCCCTTCGATGCTCCAGCCACCCCGAGGCCTCCATCCCAGCTCGCAGCGGAGATCCTGTCCCCTTCTTTCCGTTCCTTCCCTCTCCCTCCCGCCGTCCCGAAGCCCCCACCACTGCAGGCATCCAGCCCGAAGAACTCCCCACCCGGTACCGACGCTTCCTTGGCCCACCTTTTTTGTCGCGCTTGGATTTGGGCATCGCGCTGAAGCCACGTGCAGCAGAAAATAGCGCTGACTATTAGGACCCCGGCGGCGCACGTGCTTCTGGGACGGCCTACGGGGGCTGCCCTGGTGCGTGCTTGACCCAATCTGCGCTCCTGCCGGACAGCCACCTGCGCCTCTCCCCGCGTTTGCGGAGCGGCTTCCCGCACGTCTACGCGACCTCCGAGTCCCAAGCGCCTCCGGAGGGTCTTCTCGAGCAGTACAACTCTACGGTTTTGCGGGGGCGGAGCCTGCGGCCCAGGGCATGCCGGGCCGGAGGCGGGCGTGGCCTGGGCTTCCATCATGGCGGCTGCTTTGGTTTCCCGTTTCTGGCTCTGGGCTTTGTTACTTATCCCGGCGGCCGCGGTTTACGAAGACCAAGTGGGCAAGTTTGATTGGTGCGTACGTGTGGGGCCTATTCGGGAAGTATGTGACTATTTTCCCAGTACCTATTTCCTACCTGCTAAAAGAAAGAGGGTTACGATTTAGCAGGACATGGTTTGCTACATATTTTGTGGGACCCAGTGCAGAATGAAAACGTGGGGCCCCTTCTTTAAAAATTACTAAGGATATTAAGATGAAAGCAGATCATTAAACCAAGCGTGGGGCCTTTCTAAGCAGGGTTCCTGTGCGCCCATTTAGGTTGCACGCCCGTGAAGCCAGCCCTGCCATCCAGGCGTGCTTGGAGCCTTGTTCAGAAGTCACTGATCCTTCCTACTTCGTCATGCCCCATTTTTGTGACTGTCAGATTTCTGACCCACTGGGTGTTAGTTGTCCCCAGCCCGCAGTGAACTCTCACTCCTCCTTGGACTGTCGTGTCCTGGTCGTGTGAACGGGTGCTTGGGTCTTAGGTGTACCAAACTGAGCTCACTCTGCCTTCCCTTCTAGCCCAGCCCTGCCATGCCCTGGGTTCAGAGCAGAGCCCCCACCGCCCCGCCCCAGCCCCGAACTCTCATCAGCTAGAAGATGCCAGTCACTCTCTCACCTTCCCCCCCACCCCCCAAGTCCCTGGAGTCAGCTTGCTTTTGTTTGAATCTAGATTTTACCTATGCTGCCGGCTGCCTGGATGTTTTTAGGTAAAATAGGTTTAGTTGTGCATTACCTTCTACAGTAGTTGTGAGGATAAATGAAATAATCCCTTTAAATTGCTTAGCACAATGCTTGCCCTTTGAATGCAATCATATGTTACTCATTGTTACTAATTCAGGGAACACTTATCCTTCAGAGCCCAGGTCAGATGTCTTCTCCTCTGTGAAATCTTTTCTGTCTCAAATTGGTTCATATATTTGTTGAGTGATTGCTGTGTGCCAGGTGTTGTCCTAGGTGCTGTGGATACAGATAGATAAAGGAGCTCAGTCTAGTGGGACAGAAACATATATTAGTATGATTATAAGACAACGAGACAAATGCAGTGTCTGTCACAGTTTTAATGACGTGGGCAAACTCTCACAATGTCATATGTATACATTATGCGTATACTGCAGATGTGGCATAATTTCATTTTAGCAGAAACTAACCCTTTGCCAGCGAGTCAATTCCGGCTCATAGCGACCCTATAGGACAGCGTAGAACTGCCCTATAGGGTTTCCAGGGAGAGCTGGTGGATTCGAACTGCTGACCTTTTGGTTAGCAGCTGAACTCTTAACCACTGCGCTACCAGGGCTCCAAACCAAACCCACAGCTGTTGAGTTGATTCTGACTCATAGCGACCCCATAGGGTTTCCAAGGCTGTAAATCTCTATGGAAGCAAACTGCCACATCTTTCTCCCACGGAGCCACTGGTAGTTTCAAACTGCCAACCTTTAGGCTAGCTGTCGATCACTTTGACCACTGTGCTACCAGGGCTCCAAGGTAGATGTAGTTTACAAATTGAAAAATAGAAGGAAATACACCAGAATGCTAAAAGTTTATCTATTACGGTGATATTTTAGGTATTTTTCTTTTCTTTTTTTTATATCTACATGTAGTTTTTACATTTTCTTTGATGAGCAGGTATTTCTTTCGTGGTCCAGATAAACATAAAAATACTTTAAAAGAGAGCATAGGATTTAGAGTCAGAAGGCCTTAGTTTTGGCTTCTAGTTGTGACAGTAATTAACTGACTTCTCTGGACTTGGTTTTCTCACCTGTATAATGGGCATAATGATGTTTGCCCTATGTACTTCATAGGGTACAGTGAGATAAAGTATGTAAAAACACAGGTAGAAAATGTAAAATGGCATGTGAACATTAGTTTTTATTAAACCTGTCTCTCTATTACCACTTTAGCTTTTTTTTTTAACTAGACAAACAACATCATGACGAGAAATTCAGTGTAAATGTCATTGTATGGTTAATGTGCTAGAGATGTCAGCATTTCTTCATTAACAGTGATGTGCAAGCAACTCCTATATACTTGGTAGTATACTGAGTAAAACTAATTATATTCTCTTTATGCTTAGCTTAGAATGTTGAAAGTGATGGGATATATCCCAAGGAAAGTATGAGTAATGATTCAAATGGATCCTGGACATGTGTGGACTAGAAAGAACAAAGCCTGGCCCAGTCTATGAATGGTGTTTTGTAGGCAAATTCACATAACTTTTTTCCCAGAGGTCAGTGAAAATAGGGGAGAAGTTGGACTGTATGCTCATTAAGGGCAGGGTTTACATCTCTTTTCATATTTGTGATCTGAGTGCCTAGTCCCACTGTTAGTGAATACAGAGAGGACTGCAATGTTTGTTCTAGTGAGATTTATGCCAGGTGTACTTTTGGATGTCACTTATTTTGAGATAAATATGAACTTGCATTTAGAAGACTGCTGGTAGTAAAAAAGTAGGGTACAGAACTCAAATTCTGGTAAAAATACCAGACTTAATAGTTTGACTGAGACTGGAGGGACCCCAGAAGACATGGTTCCCTAACTCTCTGTTAGCCCAAAACTAAAACCATTCCCGAGGCCAACTGTTCAGATGAAGATTAGACTGGACTATGGGACATAAAATGATACTTGTGAAGAGTGTGCTTCTTAGCTCAAGTAGATACATGAAACTAAATGGAAGCTCCTGTCCGGAGGTGAGATTAGAAGACAAAGAGGGTCAGGAGCTGGTTGAATGGACACAGGAAATCTGGGGTGGAAAGGAGGACTGTGCTGTCACAGTATAGGGAGAGCAACTAGGGCCACATAACAACATATGTATAAATTTTTGTATAAGAGACTAACTTGAACTGTAAACTTTCACTTAAAGCACAATTTAAAAAAAAAGAAGACTGCTAGTATTCTAACGGATGCAATGCTGGAAGCACTCACTCGTCTGTGCAAGAAATTTGGAAGACAGCTACCTGGCCAACCAACTGCAAGAGATCCATATTTGCATCTGTTCCAAAGAGAAGTGATCCAACAGAGTGCAGAAATTATCAGACAATATCATTAATATCACACACCAGTAAAATTTTGCTGAAGATCATTCAAAAACAGTTGCAGCAGTATATTGACAGGGAACTGCCAGAAATTCAAATAGAATTCAGAAGAGGATGTGGAATGAGGGATATCATTGTTGATGTCGGACGGATCTTGGCTGAAAGCAGAGAATACAAGAAAGATGTTTACCTGTGTTTTATTGCCTATGCAAAGGCATTCAACTGTGTGGATCTTAACAACCTAAGGATAACATTGCAAAGAATGGGAATTCCAGAACACTTAATTGTGCTCTTGCAGAACCTGCATATAGACCAAGAGGAAGTTGTTTGAACAGAACAAGGAGATACTGCATAGTTTAAAATCAGGAAAAGTGTGCATCAGGGTTATATCCTTTCACTATACTTATTTAGTACACTGAGCAAATAATCCAAGAAGCTGGACTATATGAAGAAGAACAGGACATTAGGATTGCAGAAAGACTCAATTAACAACCTACAATATTCAGATGACACAAGTTTGCTTGCTGAAAGTGAAGAGGACTTGAAATACTTACTGGTAAAGATCAAAGACTGCAGCCTTCAGTATGGATTACACCTCAACATAAGAAAACAAAAATCTTCACAACTGGACCAATAAGCAACATCATGGTAAATGGAGAAAATCTTGAAGTTGCCAAGAATTTCATTTTATTTGGATCCACAATCAATGCTCATGGAAGCAGCAGTCAAGAAATCAAACCATTTATTGCATTGGGCAAATCTGCTGCAAAAGACCTCTTTGAAGTGTTGAAAAACGAAGATGTCACCTTGAGGACTAAGGTGCACCTGCCCCAGGCCATGGTATTTTCAATTGCCTCATATGCATGCGAAAGCTGGACAATGAATAAGGAAGACGGAAGAAGAATTGATGACTTTGAATTAATGGTGTAGATCAAGAATATTGAATATACCATGAACTGCCAGAAGAACGAACAAATCTGTTTTGGAAGAAGTACAGCTGGAATGCTCCTTAGAAGCAAAGATGACAAGACTTTGTCTCACATACTTTGGACATGTTATCAGGAGGGACCAGTCCCTGGAGAAGGAGATCATGCTTGGTAGAGGGTCAAGGAAAAAGAGGAAGACTCAACGAGATGGATTGACACAGTGGTTGCAACGTTGGGCTCAAACATAGCAACAATTGTGAGGATGGCGCTGGACCAGGCAGCATTTCTTTCTGTTGGACATAGGATTGCTATGAGTTGGAACTTGACAGCACCTAACAACAACAGTATTTCTATTAGGGGGTATTTTCCTTTGTTCCGTTTGCTTCTGACTGCTGCGTAGAAATCTTGCTTTTGGTCAGATCTTTTTATTAACAAACATTTCTTATACATCCTGAGACTGATATGATGATGGTAACCCTGTGCATTTGTGTAAATGGTTTTTTCCAAAGCATTTTGTGCAGTGATGACTTTGTTTTCTCCATGCACTCTTTCCTCAGGAGACAGCAGTATGTTGGGAAGCTCAAGTTTGCCTCCTTGGAATTTTCTCCTGGATCCAAGAAGTTGGTTGTAGCCACAGAGAAGAATGTGATTGCAGCATTAAATTCTCGTACTGGGGAGATCTGTGAGTGAACTGGGTTACCTGGTTGGCTCGTAGATGGAAAGGCTGAACATACTGGATCCAGAATGGCATGTGGCTTGTGAAGTTAGCCTAGCTGAGTTAAGGACAAGTTGGCCAAAGATAGACTCTTACAGAATTCTGATACTTTTTCTTTTTCACTCTGGTCATGTTTGAATGTTTAAT